GAGGGAAGTGGGATTTGGAGAGGGAGCAGTAAGAGTTTGGTTTGGGGCATATTAAATCCGGGATGCCTGTCAGATGACCAAATGGAGCTGTCAAGCAGGTAGGTGAATACAGGAGTCTAGAGATAGGAAACATTGTCTCCGCTCACCACGCCAGCCCTGCGCCAGCCTGTGACCGGAGCCCATCCAGGGCAGGCAGGCAGGAAATGTTCCAGAATGAGAGTAGCAGTAACTTTTAGAAAAAGCCTCATCCGTAATGTTTACTGAATCTTTCATGAACTCATTTTGCAAAGCTTGCCAGCCACACTAAGGGCGGGGCGCACTGTTGGCAAGACGGGGAAATCAGTGTGGTTTGTCTTCCTTGCCACAAGGTTCCCTCTTCTGCGCCCCTGGGGCCACTCCTCTCCCCATAGACACTCTCTGCCCTTCCCTTCACCCTGAATTCCACCAGTAGACAGCTGTATGTTTTGTCTGTGCAGAAGGCTGGCAGATGGGTCCGGGCAGTTGTGCTATAGAGAGTTAGAATCTCTGTGACTATAGTCAACAAGATGCAGTTCTTCTTCCAGGGCTATTAAGAAAAAGGCACGTTCCTGCTTCCTTTCCTTTATTTATGCAGTTACCTGGAATCCCTTTTACTCCTGTCTCCATCAACCTATATCCCACACGCCCTTCAAGAGGCAGACTTTGTGTCATCTTCTCCGTGCAGCCTTCCCCAGTTCTCATGATTAGAATTCTTCTCTTTGTCGCCTGTGCTCTTCTTGCTTTTCGTGCCTCTGTAATGGTGCTAAAAACGGTATGCCTTGTATTTCAATTATTTGTGAGGTTCTGACTCCTTATTATGCTGTCAACTCGGAAGACGGGGGCCTTTTTCTGTACATTTCTGTATCTCTCACATAGTTCCTTTGCCATAGCAAGTGTTTTATGAATGAATATTAGTGGAATTGAACTTTCAATGAAAGTATTTTGCACGTTGGAAGTGAGTCTCATAGATATACAAGCAAGACCTTACTTAAATTTCTTTCTGAACAGTTAGACAGTGAAATATAGGATCTACCAGCAGCAGACACGTATGAGAACTCACTGCCAGCATCTGTAATATGTGGGTGGAGAATCTAATCAAGCTTAAATCAAATCACAGAGCGAATTTGCCATTTGCAGCTAATGGACTGCCACGCACAGTGATCTGTTGTCTCTCTTTCCCCATTTGTACTTCGACATTTAAGCCACTGGATGGTCCATATAATCTATTGTTCGCTCTAATGCATAACTGAGCTAGCTTCCCTTCCCCCAACTCATGCTGTTTCTTTTTTTAAAGGGAGAACATTGAGTAAACGGTTCAGTGTTCACGTGAGTTGATTGACTTTATTTTGTGGGGGCATTTGATTAATTACAAAGATGGGTGTCATGCTTTTGTGTTTTCTCCTCTGACTTAAATACCCAAGTGTGTTTCAAACAAAAGCTGACGTCAGCAAGACCCTTGATCTCCGAGGATGCTGTAAGTGGTATCATAATGATTATTATTTTTACCACTTTCGTTGCCACCTCATGACAGAAATTTTACCACAAAAAAATGGTTTGCAAAATTATATATTTGCAACGTAACCTAAGGTGGATTTTGTATCGTGTTAACTGAGTGGAATTTTAAAAAGCAGATGTGAGTGTGAGTTTCATTTGGAAATTATGCCTTACACTCCATTCTCCTCTTTCTTTTCCTTCTTCCTCTTTCTTCCTTTCCTCCTCCTTCCCCTCGTCCTTGCCTTCCTTCTCTACTGCACACTCAGTTACCAGTTACGGTAATGAATAGGAGTTTTCTCATCCATAGATTTAAAATGTGATCCATAAAGATGTTATCTTTTTTGAGTCCAATAAAATGTTCTAATGTGTATCAGGCATTGATGAGGACAAAAGGTGACTCTCCTGCCTAAGCTGTGTACAAGCCTTTGAAATCAGGGATTAGGAAGGCACGTTCTCTCAGGCAATTGAATTGTTTTGTCCCGAATTGAATCAGGACGCCTGAGTGCTAGTCTCAACTGTGCCATGATCCATCTGTGTATCCTTCAGCCACTTTGACATTCTGTGTTTTGGGTTCCTCATATTTAAGATGGAGGGCTTTCTTTTTTCCCAGCTCTCTAACAAAGCAGGGGAGGGCTGCTGTGTCTCAGTATCCAAGGCATTTGGGAACCCTGGGTATCCACATGCACAATATGAATTTGTCTACATTTGGGAACCAGTAACATGTGGGGTGGGATCACACAAGAAACCTGATGCTGAACAGCTGGATTGCAAAATGAATGTGTTTGAAGCCAGCCACACCACTGTGAATTTGTCAGAAGCATAGGGGCTTTGCCTTTCTTAGAAGCTCCCCAGAGAAGGGGTTATCCAAAGGCTTTTCCCAAAGCCTGGGCGGGGGCAGAGAGGCTTGGAGTTGGAGGAGGGTGGGTCATTGTAACAGCAACCCCCAGAGCATAATTCAAAAAGAGTCATGTATCACAGTGTTCATTGCAGCAATCTGTCACTGCCATGGCTGCTTTCGAGCTTTTGTTTTTTCTTCTTGGGAAGTGATTTCCACAAATACCTCCAAAATTAATGGTCTGGTACCTTTGGGGGAAGGGTTGCTGTTTGAAGTATTTACTAAATTCCTTCTATGACCAGTAGTTGGTTGAGGTTTTCTATTTCTTTTTGAGCTAATTTCTTTATTTATGTTTTCCTTTAAAAATGATCCATTTCATCTGTTTTCAAACTAATTGTCATAGTTATGCAAATGATAACTTCTGAATTCACAGTCATTGCTCCTTTCTTGTTCCTAAATTTATATATTCGTGTTACCTTTCAGAACCTTTGAATGCTAGGTCCTATTGTCTGCCGCTATTGATTTCTTCTTTCTTGTTTCTACTTTTCTGCCTTTGTATAGCCTTACAAAGCCTCCTTCTTATTTTCTTTACATTCAGTTGAGGCAAAAACAGCCCTGGCTAAATTCTCACTATGCGATTAAGTGCTCTACCAGGAACCACAGGAAGATATATAGGGAGCGATAAACTTGGTCTTTACATTCAGGAGAGCTGTGATTTAATGGGAAGGACTAGGTGAGTATTCATGAAACTACAGGCAGGTTTTGAAACAGAGTGCTGAATGCTAGAGACCACTAGTGGAGGGATGCCCAAGGGAGGGGCTTCCCTCACTCATGACCAAAACTAAATGAAGCCAGTCAGAGTCAGGGGCAACCTCAAACACAGAGCATGGCAGAGATCTTCAGGGTCAAGTGGTGGCAAGGGATAAACAATTCAGCGGCACACAATGTATCATAGTTAGGGGCTCCAAATTGTATTGGTCCAAGATGTCAGTGGGCGTCTGCAGAAGGGTTCAAAGCCACGTATGTAGCCTCTGTCGTTGGATCCACTACCAGGGCAATATGCAGGCTGCTTATTGAACTAACGTGCCAGTTAGTGACTGGGTCACTTGGAGGTGGTACTAAATAGCTCGCAAGGCACCTGCAGATACTCCTAGCACTCATGACATGATACTGAAATGTTCTGTTTCAGTGTATCTCATTCCATCAGATTATGAGCTCCGTGGAGTCATGGCCTGAGTCTTACTCATCTTTGTCTCCCCAGTGCCTGAACCATATGTAAGTGCTTTGTATTACCGAGTGGCTAAAAGCACAGGCTTTGGCGTCACGTCGATCCGCACTTATTTGGCTTCATCGCTTTCCACCTGAGTAATTTACTTATTGTCTCCGGACCTCAGTTTTCTCATCTGTAAAATAGCGATGACAATAATGTCAACGTCTGGGAATCGTTGTGAGAGTAAAATGGGATGACAGATTTGGAAGTACTTAGCAGAGTGCCTGTTCAGAGTAAGCATTCAATTAGTGGTGGCTCTGTTTGTTATTACATGATTGTGGAATGAATGGGTGTCAAGCTGAGGATTGGGATAAGAATGTTTTGACTCTGGGCTTCCCTGGTGGCGCAGTGGTTGAGAGTCCGCCTGCCGATGCAGGGGACACGGGTTCGTGCCCCGGTCCGGGAGGATCCCACGTGCCGCGGAGCGGCTGGGCCCGTGAGCCATGGCCGCTGAGCCTGCGCGTCCGGAGCCTGCGCTCCGTTGAAAAAAAAAAAAAAAAAAAGAATGTTTTGACTCTCTGGTTTCTCCTGGGCTTTCCCTGGTGTGCTGGACTAATTATCAAATGTAATTAGGAAAGCTGAGAGGTGGGGAGACTGCAGGAGCAGCATACTTTCCCAGGGACCCTCATTTCTTTGTGCAGAAAAGGAGTTGGGGAGGACCGTCTCTCTGTTGTGGACAAGCCGCAATGCATAGGGCACTAGAGGGCGGGAAGGGTCCTGGGAACACGACTTTTCCAGCAGACCCTCAAGCCTACAGGGACCCATTGCTCTTGAATAAATTTTAAGTGGTTAGGACGGTTTTCCCCTCCTTCTTTTTCAGAGAGGAATGGTATCCTGGGCTACTACCAGGTGCTCAGTTCACTTTTAGCAAAAAGTCCAATTTTTGTGGGTCCAAAGCGGTTAAAAACTGGTGTCCTTCTTCAAAACTCGTGAAGATGGAGAGAGGGACTTCCACGTCTCAGTCAGCCAGAGTCTGTCCATCTCAGGTTGCAGAAGGTCTTTCTCATCTTCCTTGGCCTACACCCCTGCCCCCAGACTTGGGCTAGCAGCACTCTTGTCTGAGGCTCTGAGGAAAGGTGACATTTGTAGGGTCCTCTGCTTGCTGACTTTAATTCAGAGGGGAACATTCCATTTGGACATGGTCTTGAAGTTACTCTTGGTGAAATGGAAACAAGGTACCACACATGCAACATGGAAAGAAAATGGCACTCAGTATATCTTTACTCACGAGGGGCTGTGGTGCAGACTGTGAGCCTGGTATTTTGAGAAAAAGGAGATCCCTGGGGGCTAAAATGTGAAACTTTTTTCCCGTGCCAACATGGCATGAAGTTCACTGTCACAAGACCATCAAATATCAAGTCAATGTTTCCGCTTTCTCTGTAGGTAACCTGTCTCCATGATTTCTTTGGTGATGACGACGTGTTTATTGCCTGCGGTCCTGAAAAATTTCGTTATGCTCAGGATGACTTTTCTCTGGATGAAAATGGTAAGGACAACCACTGAATTTTATTGTTCCATTGTTCTCGCTCCTTCTATCCCTTAGGATTTCCATGGGCTTATATGGCCTGGAAAACATCCATGGATGGTCCCTTTCTCTTGTATAGTTGGATACATGAGTCTCTAAGTGAAAGTTGATTGCATATCTCAGATGTTTGGCCTCCAGACTCAATAAAACTCACTACCGGCCCCAATAGTGACCATATTTCTTGACCCATATATTATGTCACATGGGCTGACAGGCTCAATCAGACCACGGGAAGGAACATTTGGATTCAGAACTTGAATATTGTATGCATATGTTTTTTTTTCTAGTCAACATCCTCCAGCTATTTGGCCCATGTTGATGGTTCCATTTTAGGAATATTTTCCACTGTGTTGTTAGTGTCAAACATTTTCCCTCTTCCCACCTTCTGGCTTGTTGCCCCATTCCCCCTGATTTGTGGCTCAAGATTCCAGAAGATTGTTAATTTCAGGAAGGAGGTGAACATCTGCCCATCTCCCTTTGCTTGAGTCCAAGCTCCACGTGTAAGTTCACGGTGAATTAGCTCACACAGCCACAGGACTAGGGTATGATCCCGATGGAAAGACACATTCAAAACATATTTCCCAATAATGAGGAATAAAGTGTGGGAGAAAACAAATCAAGTTTTACTAATATAGAGTTTACAAACAACTCAAGTGACAGGGACCCTGAAAGGGGTGGCATTTCTGCTGTGTTCACTTTGAGAAGAGGCAAATGACCAGAAAATAGCTAAACAAATCTCGGGCTGTGTCCAGTTTCTTGTATCTTCTACATCTTCGGCTCTGGACAGTAATCACTAAAGTTTATCAATCAAAACAAGAAGTAGAACAAACAAAAATGAGCTTTCTGCTTAACTCCGTTTCCTGAAAAACTTAATTTACCAGAAAAGACCTAATCTTTCTGAGTAACTGATATTTTCAATGTATCTTTAAGTAGAAGGTGACAAGGAGGTGTCCAATGAAGAGACAACCCTGTGCCTAGCTGTTTGGTTCCACTTTGAGCATGATCACGTGAGGTTGGGGAAAGTATAGTGGAAAGAGCTCTAGACTGGGACTCAGGAGACTTGACTGCTCATCCTTATTCTGCTGTTTTCTTCCTTTGTGACGCTAAGCAAGAGGCTTAAGCTCTTTGTATTCTCATCAACAATATGAGTATAATAATCCTCCTAATATATTAGTACAATCAGCGCCCCCAAATTACCATTGTAGGGATGCTGAGTGACCTGCATTAGAAAGGGTGCTCTGAACGTGTCAGATTGGGGTTGGGGAAGTAGCAGGAACGTAGTTCTCTGTAAATGCAAGATGGTGGTGGTGGTGGTAGTGCTTATTTATAAAATGGCATGACGTCCTTAATACGCCTATTACAATACATGGCATGCGATGAATAATAAATAATAGCTCCCTCCCCCTCCTTTAAATTACTCACGAATGTTTCATCTGCGTGGCTGCAACCTCTGAGCTGTCAGTCTCTTCTCCAAGGAAATTAATTAATTATGCCAACAGGTGCTATTCTGAGACATGACTGGGTTATCCAAAAGTGATTGAGTTGACTATTGAATTACCTGCCCGAACTGCTTTTCTACTCCTTCCCTTGTTTCCATGATTCAGGAATTTAGACACCTGGCTTAGCCCAGGTGACTTTTGAAAGTTTCTCCCACGCCTCCCTCTCCAGAGCCATCGTTCCTTCAAACAATGAGAACCACCTTGTAGTCCTGAGCCCTAAGGTGCTTTGGTATGTGGTGCTTATAGCAGTTTCCAGAGGTTGGTAAGATGCTGAGTCTTGGTTCTCCCCGGCTCTACTAAGCTGTCTGTGTCCTTTTCCACCAGAATGCCGAGTCATGAAGGGAAACCCATCAGCCACAGCTGGCCCAAAGGCATCCCCAACACCTCAGAAGAGTTCAGCCAAGAGCCCTGGCCCCATGCGCCGGAGCAAGTCTCCAGCTGACTCAGGTAACGACCAAGACGGTGAGTGCTCTTCTCCTAACTGTGCACGCTGACTTCATTTACAGAGGCCAGTACCCTCTGCATGCAGAGGAATGAGTTCCTCATGAACACCATTTGTGTCTCCATGAGACCAATTCTATCAGTTCAGAGACTAACCAGTTCAACTTGTTTGGAGTCATGGAGACACAGCTACAACACCGATTCTACTCAAATGGATGCAGACCAGAGATCTGACCCACTTGCCATGCCTGCTGTAATGCTATTTGTCATGGTTGTGTTCATTGCCATCATTCTCAACGTCATCCAGCCAATGCATAGTCAATGAAATAATCAAGTCAAACGTAAATTTGAGATAGAAAATCAGAATCAAAAACAAAATGTGGAAAAAAAGCCACCTCCCTCAAAGTGTCAACATGGTGGATGCCCTTGAGCTTCAAATTTGACTTTGAATGTTTTTAGAAGTCAAAACCAAAAGAGAAACAAAATAAATTGCATCATTCTCACAGGAGTAAAGGACATATAGGCCAGGCTCTGAAAGGAAATAAAGACATTTGTCATAGAGGATTTTATTTAGTGGACAGTGAGCAATCTAAAAAATGTGGTCTAGGGATCACTGCTGACCCATGAACTATTTATCAGTGTGTGATGAGATTAGGAGCTTGTGGCAAATGTAAATCATGCCACTGAGCAAACCATTTACTTCACAGCATGATTTTACTGATAAAGGCAGCAGTGTGCTGGCTTACATTCTGGTACAAGGTACACCCATAGCTTGAGTGGCACTGGTACACCCATAGCTTGAGTGGCACTGATCTAAAAGGCAAAAGGGCAGAGAAGGCCAAGTTTAGAAGCTTAGTAGACTCATGCACAGACAATTTGAGTCCTTCATGGTAAAGAAATTATATGCTCCAGAAGATTTACTCATTTGTCCTCCCAAAGCTCAGGGTTCACCATGAGAATTCTTCTAGCCTGAGAGCCTTGGGGCAGAGAGCAAAAGCACTCTTTATCGCTTCTTCAATTTGAGGCAGCTTGAGCAGCCTGTTGGCTTTGAAATGCCCGTGGCCTGGAAAAAAAGCCAGTCCTGCTGGCCTCACACTACCATGCCTATCACCGGCCATCTCTTTATTCTCAAGCAGAAGGAACTCAACTGTGAAGAGGCAGCTCAGGCTTTTCATGCTTCCATCTCTTTGCATACCCTGTTCTCCCGCACCTGGAATGCCATCCCTCAAACCTGCCACTCTTCTTTGCTTGAAAACTCCTACTCATCCTTCAACACCTCAAATAGAAATAGTTGTTCCATTCTCCGCAACATCATAGCACGGTATTCATATCTCTGGGGTAATATTCACCACAACTGTGTTGTAAAGTATGTATTTACTTGTATGTATTTACTTCATCAACTAAATGCTGGTTCCCTCAAGGGCAAGGTGTCATGTTCATTTCTGTATCCTCAGTGCTGAGCACAGTACCTGGGTCCTAGTAGATGCTCAGATAATGCTTGTGAATGAATAGATGCATAAGAGCACCTATTTCACCCAGCATGGTACTAGAGACCCAATAAGCATGTAGGTAATATTTGCGGAAGGAATAAAAAATGCATGTGTTTGGTGATATTTTGATTAAGCGTACAGAACAGCACATGAATCTATCTAAGCAAATTCATATTGCTCAAACTACAAAGACCTAGAGTTTAGCACTTGGATTGAGAATGAAATTGTTTATAAGGTTCTAAGCAGGGCCTTGCCCAAAAAATGGACTTTAAACAGTTGATCAAGATTCCTAAAGTCTGGCAATAACCACTTAGCTGATAATTTTTTCAGAAGTATCACTGGCTATTTCTGGGATTTCTAACCTGTATTACTTATCTCTTGCTATAAAACAAATTACTCGGAAACATAGTAGCTTAAAACAGCAAACATTTTTTTTATCTCACAGTTTCTGTGGGTCAGGAATTCTGGGGTGGCTTAGCTGGGTGGTTGTGTCCAGCTCAGAATCTCTCATGTAGTTGAGGTCAAGGTATTAGTAGGGGCTGTAGTCATCTGAAGGCTCAACTGGGACTGTAGGATCCACTTCCAAGATGGCCATTGGCAGGATCTTCCCCACAGACAGCAATTCAAGAGGGTGAATAAGGAAGAAGATGTGGTGCCTTTTATGGTCTCCTCTCCAAAGCTACACACTGTCACTTCTGTTTTATTCATTAGAAGCAGTCACTAAGGCCAGCCCACATTCAAGGGGAGGGGAAGCAGGCTCCATTTCTGGAAGGGAGGAATATCAAAGAATTTGTGGACCTAGTTTTAAACCATCACATAACCCATTAGTTAGAAATGCTGGAGTGGTAGCAGTTTGAAGTAAATCGATTCTCTTTGCAGACTGTATCCAATTGGATTACCCAGAACACATGAACCCAACCACCTGTAATTAAACACAGTTTAAAGATGTGTCAAATAACTGATCTCCAGCATACTACATGCAGAATTTCCCTTCTAAAATGTATGCACTTCACTGATTCTAAGATGTTGGAGACAGAGAAGGAATGCATTAGGACTCAATGAATATGTGTCAAATTGAAAGGAGTTATAATAGATCCCAACCTAGGCTTAGGCAGGCAAGATCTATTCTTATTCCTTCAGACCTCCCTTGCTAAAAGAAGGAATGAGGATGTATTCACACACACAAGGTAAACAAAGTAACCAATTTGAGGTAGGAAAATGGGACCTTACTTTGGCAGATATCAGAATTACAAGCAGCCCCAGTTTCCTACCAGTAAAAAATCTAAAGTGTTATCCTCAGTAGAGAGAATTTAAATATCTTCATTTCAGATAGTTCATGAACATAAATGAAGTCAAACTCTAGTCTAGCCAACCTTCATGGCAATTTCCGGAACATTTGAGCTTATCTTAGATGATGTATTTAGAGCCCCCACATGATTTCAGCCCCAAAGGGTAAAAGGATTCACGTAACACAACCTTGCCCATGCCATGGGAGTTTAGGGCCAAGTCTAGGACATCCACTCGGTGAACATTGCACAGGGGCAAAGCTGATCTCGGGCAAACAGGACTTTAGGTAAGGTTCAGATTTGACATACCCATTTTCCCTTTTCCACCCCCTCCTCACTCAGGACCATCTCAAGCTGGGAGGTGTAGGGAGATAGGATATGGAAGAGGAGGGAGAGACATCTCTCTAGGAAAACCCAATTATACCACTTCCCAGCTTTGTGACTTGGGACAAGTTTCTTACCTTGTCTAAGACTTGGTTTCCATTTTGGATAAGACAGAATTTGCATGTCTAGACAAAAATCATTTTCCATTGTTATCGGTGATTTCCAGGGTTGTAAAATAGCTTCCACAGAATCAGAATCAGGTAACAAGAAGGGTGAGCTATAGACAATGCAGAGTTTTGCATTAGCATAAATTTCTCCTTACAAACATAAAGAAAGAATTGTTTCATAAAGCATCAAGGCTTTCTGAGCTGTTAGCAAGAGACATATACAGATGAATATACATTTAACCAAAGAATAATGGCAGTGTGTGGGGCTGAAATTCTTTGTTCTTTTGTAGTACATGGTAGTACCACCCTGTTTCCATTCTGTGTCGGTCTGTCTTAGATCTGAGACTTGTGGATGGATCCACATTTCTTCATTCAACCTGAGTGACTAAAGGTTGTGGAAGATAGGCCATTTCCAGGGAATCTTAACTACCTTCCTTTGATGGCAAACGAAAGCCAAAAATCTTCCTCTTTAGCCGGGATTCAAACCAAATGAAACATTGGCTCAGTTCAGGTTCAGTTAAAGGAATGTTTTGATGTTCTAGTTCATTAGAAAATATATAGGTTTGTTTCTGGTTTGAACAAGTTTGCTAGCTTTTCAAATATATATATATATTATATATATAATATATGTATATATAAAATATATATATTTGGTCCAATTCATGGTTCAGTTAATATCTGGGTTCAGTTTGACTTGAGGCTTAGGAAATTGATGCTATTTGGTCTGTAATTTGCGTCATAATTTGATTCTTTGTTCCTTATTCCTTAAGTTGTCTCTTTCCCATTCTGCCCATGAATAAATCAAAGTCCTTCTACTTTATTCCCTTCAAGTTCAGTCCCTACTCCTGCCAGTACTGAGTTTGCCCCCAGAGGGAATGTCTGTTGCTAAGCCCTAAACTTGAGTTAAGGAAGGATTTGATTGTCTATACAATATTGCTATAAGGAGCTCTCATTCTCACTGGGCAGAGCTGACAGACTCTGAGAATCCAAGTCCCATTAGCCAGGTTTGTCTTTAAAGTAGGGCAAGGGATTGTGTGGTAAGCAGATGAAACCTGAGCCCAGAAGGCTCCTGTGGAATGTTTGAAGGAAGTTTGTGCAGTGCTCCCTTTCGATTAACCTAGGACTTGCCATTTGATGGGCAAAGGTAAGCCTGGCTTCAGAACTAAAGGAAGACATTTCTGTGTCTCTCTACTTCCATTTTAGCCATTAATGTGTTAATTTTTCTCTTTATGCAGCTACCCCCCAATTGAATTGAATTGAATTGAATTAAAAGGACAAAGTCAGCTAGTTGCTGGGAAGGAATCTTTTCTTTTTCTTTCTGTTTTTTTTTTTTTTTTTAAAGGAGCCTCCAAGGAAGCTAATTCCCACTTGAGAGGATTGTAATGTGATCATTAGTTTGCTATTCTTCAATAGTATATCATTGTTGCAGCAACCCGATGTTCTCCACCCTCCTTCCCCCAACCTATGTGCACCTATTCCTGAAAGTCAAATCTTCCCTGTTCCCAAACGCCCAAGAATGAATGTCTTCTCTACCAAAATACATAGCTTTTGAAAGGGGAGGTCGAGGGCCACAAAACAGCCAGGTGAGGGTGCCCATGGGAGAATAGTATCCGGGAGTCCTCTTCTGAACCAAAGACGCTGCTTTGGGTTGCCTAAGATGGAGGGACCTGGATGTTCTGACCTTCCTGAATGTGACTGTCTGGATGTACCAGCTCGGTCTAATAAAAATATAATGAGAGCCACAAATGCAATCC